TGTGTTTGCTCCATCTGTACAAATAGGTCTCCACCTCACCCCGGGCTCTGTGTCAGCTGCACACGTCTGTGTGTTTACAGCTTGTGCCAGTCAGGCCCCCGGGTTCACGGGTTGCTCCGCGGCCCCGCCCGGCTGTGTGTGTCAGATCGACGCAGCCAGACGCAGACTCAGCCGCAACCCCCGAGTCTCCACAACCCGCCCCGGCAGCCGCCTCGCCCGGAGCCGACCATGGGCAAAATTCTCCTCCTGTGCCTGGCCGCTCTGACCTGCGCCGGGCTGGGTAAGCCACGAAACCCAGGGGGTCTTCGCCCCGCCTCCGCTTGGGGGGCTCGCTCTGTATTCTCCAGTCCCTCCTCGCCAGAGAGACCCCCCTGCCGTGTAACTCGCTGCCACACCAGGCCATGGCGCTAAGCAGGATTTCAAGGGGTCCCGGACCCCCAGGCCTCCGTACGGCCCCATGGGAGGACCCTCCCTTTGGTGCGAGAGCCCCCCAGGAAGATCGCACCAGGGTCAGGCCCTCTGGCCCCGCCACCCCCCGGGACCGCACCGCCTGGCTCTGCCGTGGGCCCCGCAGGGAGTCCCCTCGCTCCGGCCCCCCGGGAACCCCCCCAGAGGGAGTGACACCCCCTCGATCCCCAGCCTGCAGGGGCTCTCCGCCAGCGTCAAACCAGGAGCGTTTATTGTAGGGCCCAACCCAGCCCAGGCGGTTCTCAGGGGGCTCGGGCCAGGCCAGTCTGAGCCCCCGCCAGCTGGGTCTGGCCCCGTCCCATGGGGCTCCGGCTGCTCCTTGCCCCCCGTCCAGCAGCCCCTCCTTCCACCCGATCATCCGATGTCCCCTCCCCCGACAGCCCCTCCCCCGCCCTTTGCCCTCGGTCCCGGTAAACAGGCATCCCCCCGTTTTCTGTCCTTTGCTTCCCACGGGCTGGACAGGTCGCCAGGGTCCTCTCTCCTCAGCCCTTTGTCCCCCTGAGCTAGGCTGGGCCTTTCGGTCACGCTGGGTTACCCAATCTCCAGGCCATTGTCTGGGGTCCCGACTGCTAGCCCAGGTCACACCTGGTCTTCCTCTGCAACAGCAAACCCCCCTCTCCCACCCCCTGGTTACACACGCAGCCCACAGGGAAACTGAGGCACGCACACAGCAGTCATGCAAAACACCAAGAAAATTCCCCGCTTTGTCCCGAAAGGCTCTGCTCTCCTTCCCGACTGGAGGAGTTTAATTCCCAAAACTCAGGCCATTGGACAAAAAGCAGCCAGAATTAAGGTGATTCTTCCCAAGAGAAGAACATAAGAGCGGCCAGACTGGGTCAGACCAAAGGTTCATCCAGCCCAGTGTCCTGTCTTCCGACAGTGGCCAGTGCCAGGTGCCCCAGAGGCAATGAACAGAACAGGGAATCATCAAGTGATCCATCCCCTATAGCCCATTCCCAGCTTCTGGCAAACCGAGGCTAGGGACACCATCCCTGCTCAACCTGGCTAATAGCCATTGATGGACCTATCCTCCATGAATCTGTCTAGCTCCCTTTTGAATCCCGTTATAGTCTTGGCCTTCACAACATCCTCTGGCAAGGAGTTCCACAGGTTAACAGTGTGTTGTGTGAAGAAATACTTCCTTTTATTTGTCTTAAACCTGCTGCCTATTAATTTAATTGGGTGGCCCCTAGTTCTTGTGTTATGAGAAGGAGTAAATAACACTTCCTTATTCACTTTCTCCAAGTCAGTCATGATTTTATAGACTTCAGTCATATCCCCCCTTAGTCGCCTCTTTTCCAAGTTCAAAAGTCCCAGTCTTATTAATCTCTTTTTTTTAGCATGGGAGGAAGGAAGCGGGGTAACAGGGGCATTGGGGGGTGGCAGACGGAGCTTTAAGGGGAACCGGGGGAGGTGGAGTAGCGAGGTGGGAAAAGGGGGGTTATTTTTGCTGCCTTAAACATGTGTCCTGTTTCCAGCCTCCTTTGAATGATTAGCCCCAGGCTCTGGCTACCGCAGCTTATCAGCATGCACGGGTTGCGGGGGGAAGCTGCCCGACCAGCTGCCACTTCGCTCACAGCCCAGAAGAAATATTTTTAGCTGCGCAACAGTTTTCTCCGTTGGTTCTCGTCCCAGAGGAGAGTCGCACTTTGCCCCCCAGGCCCAAGATTATTAGGACGTGTCCGGGTGTGAGGGGAGCCCATGGCTGGGCTAGCAGGTGCTGCGGGTCGGGAGTGAGGGGCACTTGTGGGGAAGGGGCTCATCACCTCCCTCCCCACCCCTGTTAACTCACCAGTCTCCTCGCTGCCTGGAGGAGGGGAAGGGGGCACCTCTGGGGGAGGGGAGGAGGATCCATGGGATCTCCCAGCTCCATCCCCCAGCGGGGGTCTTGTGGGAATGGGGGGGGAGGGGAAATGGACCCTCCCTCTTCAAACCATGTTAAACCCCCACTGGCTAGAGGAGGGCTGGGCCTTTCCCTGCCCCCCCCCCATCCTAACCTGAGCCCCGGCCAGTCCCCGACCTGCCCCCCATCTCCCCACCCCTCAGCCTCACCCCCATCCCCTTAACCCCTGATCCACCCCTGACCTGAATCCCAGCCCCTTATTCACCCCACCTCAACCCTAGCCCCCCCCAACGCCTCTTGCCCCTGCAGACCTCCCGGCCTGAGTCCCAGCTCCCCGCCTCATTCCCCGGGGCTCCCTCCAGGGGGCGCTGTCGTGGGGCTGGGGACAGGCCTAACTGCAGGCAGGGACCCCCCCGGGGAGCAGCCCCTAGTGCCCAGCTGGGGGGGGATCTGTGGGGAGGGGCCCAGTCTCACCCCCCTGCTCTCTATTCCCAGGCACAGCCCTGCAGTGCCTGAAATGCGACTTCACCGCGTTCGACGCCCCCTGTCAGCTCACCCCGGTCACCTGCCAGGCCGGGCAGCTCTGTGCCACCATCCGGGGCCACGCAGGTAACAGCCCCCTGCCCGCGTCTTTGGGCTCCTTCCCCCTTCCTGCCGCCTTCCCTCTCCCTGGGGCTCCCTCCCTTTCTCGGTCCTCATCCCCTTCCCCCGTTCTCCGGCTCCATCGCTCTCTCACGGTCCCCATCCCCTTCCCCCGTTCTCCGGCTCCGTCACTCTCTCTCGGTCCCCTTCCCCCCTTCTCCAGCTCCGTCCCTCTCTCTCGGTCCCGGTCCCCCCTTCTCCGGCTCCATCGCTCTCTCTCGGTCCCTGTCCCCTTCCCCGGCTCCGTCACTCTCTCTCTGTCCCCTTCCCCCCTTCTCCGGCTCTGTCACTCTCTCTCAGTCCCTGTCCCGTTCCCCCGTTCTCCAGCTCCGTCGCTCTCTCTCGTTCTCTGGCTCCGTCGCTTTCTCTTGGTCCCCATCCCGTTCCCCCATTCTCTGGCTCCGTCCCTCTCTTGGTCTCCGTCCCCTTCCCTCGTTCTCCTGCTCTATCGCTCTCTCTTGGTCCCTGTCTCGTTCCCTTGTTCTCTGGCTCTGTTGCTCTCTCTTGTTCCTTTTCTTATTCCCTCATTTTCTCTCTTGTTCCTCTGTTCTCTTTTTTGTTCTCTCTCTCTCTCTCTCTCTCACTCTCTTTCCCTTGGTTCCTCCCTCCTTCCTTCATTCTCTTGTTTCCTTTTTCCTTCTCTCATTCCCTCTCTCTCTCCCCCCAGCTGGCCACAAGACGATTGTGCGGAAGAACTGTGTGGACGAGGTGAAATGCAGCACCCAGGACACGGCCACCTGGGCCGGCGTCACCTACACCACCTCTTACACCTGCTGTGAGGGCGATTTCTGCAATTAGGCCAGGGCCCCGGAGCGCCCCTGGGGCCGGCGCCTCTGACTGCCCCCCATTTCAGGGGTCGGAGTTGTCTTGCGGGCCCCCAAATTTCACCTCCCTTAAAAACGACTTGCTGACGTCAAAATACAGAAGTGTCCCAGGCCCGCTATGACTGAACAGTGGCGGACTTTCTCAGTTTGATGCTATAATTAGAAAATAAATCAATTGGAATAGAAATCCTGTGCTTCCATGTCAGTGTGTAGGACATAAGAACGTAAGAGCGGCCAGACTGGGTCAGAGCAAAGGTCCGTCTAGCCCAGTATCCTGTCTACCAACAGTGGCCAATGCCAGGTGCCCCAGAGGGAATGAACAGAACAGGGAATCATCAAGTGATCCATCCCCTGTCGCTCATTCCCAGCTTCTGGCAGTACAAGCGAGTCTCATCTTACGTGCATTTAACATGCGCGAATTCAGCTTTGCGCTGTCAGCCAAAAAAAAAAAAAAAAAGAAAGAGAAAAATAACAATTTAAATACTGTACCTGTAGTGCAGGCGATTCCACCCGCCATTCCACTCAATCTAATTTTGACTCTACGCGATTTTCGCTTTATGCGCTGACAGTGGAATATAACCCCAGCGTAAGATGATACTCGCCTGTATAAACAAGTCATCGTCTAGGAAATTTTAGTTTGTAGTGATTCTGAGTTTGGACGGGGACCGAGAGAGAGCGACAGAGCCAGAAATTTTTCTTCAGCCTGTTGTCAAACGAGGCAAATATCGAGAGGAGTTGATGGACCGCCTGGAAGAGCTCTTCATGCTCCCGGTGGACTTGTACCCCTGTTGAGAACCGCTGCTCTGGGCATTTAAGAAACACAACATGCAGGCGTGCAAGGGATTCAGCGAGACTTGCGTTAAGCCTAAAGCAGTCAGGCTGGAAATATCCAGGGATTGAAAGCTATTTGGGTGCTTAAAAATGCAGCTGGGCAGCAGGTTCCTGATCCCCCTAACTCTGATTTCAATGGGGATCGGGCGCCTGGACGCTTTTGAAAAATCCCCCTAGGCGCCTCTTGGCATCTGTTGTGTTTAATACCTTTAAAAATCTGTCCCCAAGCCTTTAGAGACCAGAGTCAAGTCAAGAGTCTGCATTTCTAAGAACATTTACTTGTCACTGGCTGTTCTCCCTGGCTTCGGTGCCTCCAGGCCGCTCGGGACACATTAACGAACTGCCAGTGGAATAGAAGTTGCACTTTTTCTGAATTCGCGCCCGCTGGGGGATTTCTCCAGCTGGGTCTAGTTTTAAGCGATTGTTTTCGATGTTTCCCAGTTGGCTTGGACACACCTCAGCCCAACTGGATGGTTTTCTATGTCGTGGGGCAAGAACACCCCATCCCGCTGAGGGGTGGGGCAAAGGCGTCACGGATCCACAGTTAAGTCCGCCTGCCTGCCCTTAGCCTCAGGGCAGTACGGCCCAATGGCCAGAGTCAATATAATTGCCCTGTGACCCCAGTCTGTATGGCTGACGTCCTTAGCAGAGTTGAGTGGCCGAGTGTCCAGAGTCAGTAAAGTTGCCCTCCTTAGCAGGGCTATGCGGCCTAATGGTCAGAGTTGGGGAGGTGAGCTGCCACCTGCAGAGGGCGGCAGGGGTAGGGGAGTCCGGGCCCTCCCTCTCCACCGGGTCCCAGCCAGGGCCCTGGCAATGGTGAGTGCACGTGGCACCGAGTCAGCGAGGTGCCGAGCGAAACACGCCAGCCCAAGATCCGGTTCTGTAACCGGTCCCCTGCCCAGTTCCAACTGTATTCCCCAATGCTGCCATCTGGATGCCTTTGGGGTCTCCGGGTTCCTCAGCCAGCACTGGTCCCAGCGGCACTGACCTGCCTCGGGCGTCCGCAGGTATCCAGGCGTCTGCCTGGGTCTCGGTGCTTCTGGCTCCCGCGCTCGGGGGTTCTGGCTGCTCCCGGGCTGGAGCCGGCGAGGTGCGTCCTTCCTCGCCAGGGGTCAGCCTAGAATGAGGCTGGGCCACTCCCTTTTATACTGTAGCAGCAGTTGGAGCATGCCCAGCAGGAGCAAGGGGGCGTGTCTTCTGCTGGCAGGAGTGGAGGCTTAACCCCTTCCTCTCCAGAGCGGGGCAAGTACACCCTGTCACAGGCTCCCAGAGAAGAAGCTAGAGACAAGGTGGGTCCCATAAAAGATATTTGCTCACCCCCCTTGTGTCTCTGAGATCCTGGGAGCGACACGGCTACACCGCCACTTGCCTACAGAGAAGTAAGTAGCCCATGATGTTCTCTGGAAAGTCGCATCGCTTTAACGAGCCTGGTATGATCAAATCACCGCACCGGACGCAGCTGTACCAGTATCGAAGTGCATGCGGCCCCTTTACACTGGTCTAACTGGTCCGCATTCGGGGTTCATAGAATATCAGGGTTGGAAGGGACCTCAGGAGGTCATCTAGTCCAACCCCCTGCTGAAAGCAGGACCAATTCCCAACTAAATCATCCCAGCCAGGGCTTTGTCAAGCTGGGCCTTAAAAACCTCTAAGGAAGGAGATTCCACCACCTCCCTAGGTAACCCATTCCAGTGCTTCACCACCTTCCTAGTGAAAAAGTTTTTCCTAATATCCAACCTAACCCTCCCCCACTGCAACTTGAGACCATTACTCCTTGTTCTGTCATCTGGTACCACTGAGAACAGTCTAGATCCATCCTCTTTGGAACCCCCTTTCAGGTAGTTGAAAGCAGCTATCAAATCCCCCCTCGTTCTTCTCTTCTGCAGACTAAACAATCCCAGTTCCCTCAGCCTCTCCTCATAAGTCATGTGCTCCAGCCCCCTAATCATTTTTGTTGCCCTCCGCTGGACGCTCCAATTTTTCCACCTCCTTCTTGTAGTGTGGGGCCCAAAACTGGACACAGTACTCCAGATGAGGCCTCACCAATGCCAAATAGAGGGGAATGATCACGTCCCTCGATCTGCTGGCAATGTCCCTACTTATACAGCCCAGAATGCCGTTAGCCTTCTTGGCAACAAGAGCACACTGTTGACTCGTATCCAGCTTCTCGTCCACTGTAACCCCTAGGTCCACTCTAACCGCTAGGGGTTTTACTGGTCTGACTATTCACTGACGGAAAGCATGGCGAATGCAGAGCTAAAGGCGCCCGGTGGGATCGTGAGCCCTGCCCCAACGCCGAGTGCAGCAAAACGCCTCCCTTGGAAATGCAGACTGGCCGCCCGGCCCAAGTGGGAATTATCGGCAGCAGGCCAGCTGCCTTCCCTGCACTAGGAGTGGGGAATCAGCGGGGCGGGGATTAGGATCACAGCCCCGCACCTCGACTCCCTGCGTGTGTGATCAAAGGAAAAAGGTTTACCCCCCCCACACACACACACCTCACTGACAGTTACAGCGGTAAAACTTCCAGGTGTTCGTGAAAGGAAACTGATGTGGGGCGTAGGCGAGAGCTCACGGGAAGAACTGGGGTGTATTTACCGTGCAGTAATCGGAGGGGGCTTCACCTCCACATCGGGCGCAGTGGAGATTTTACCATCCCATGGAGGACCCCGAGGACACACGAGAAACCAGCCCCGCCCCGTTCACGGATTAGCCCCGTTCCACACTGTATTAGCAAGACAAAACCCACAAACGCCAGCCCAGCAGAGGAGACGGAGCCCACGCGGGAATGGCCAGTGCTCGCGTTAGTGACACCAGCCTGCACGGGGAGGGACTCAAGATGCCTAGGTACCGGCCGTGTTACACCCAATGCCCCCAACCCCGGCTCTCTGGCGAGGAGCCAAGGGGGCGTGTCCCGCCCGAGCCGTGGCGCGTGGGAAATTCCTGCTTCGCCCAGCGCCTGCTCCTCTTGGGATCTGGCAGATGAACGAGATCATCTCAGCTGGGGTGCGACAGGGAGGGACAAAGATCTGCTCTGTGTGTGTGTCTCTGTGTTAGCTACAAGGGGGGGGGTTACCTACAGGTGTCTTTGCACCCTGTGTCTGTCTGTCAGGATGTGTGTGTGTGAGAGAGAGAGAGAAAGAAAGAGTGTGAGTGGGTGTGTGAGAGAGACAGTGTGTGTGTGTGTTTGGTGTGTGTGTTAGCTATGGGGTATGTGTGTTTTACCTACGGGGGTCTGTCCCCGTGCGTCTGTCTGGGGGGGGGGGGGTGTATGTGTGTGAGAAAGAGTGTGAGTGTGAGTGAATGTGAGTATGTGTGAGAGTGTGAGTGAGTGTGAGAGAGAAGCAGTGTGTGAGTGTGTGTGTGTTAGCTATGGGGGTGTGTGTTTTACCTATGGGTGTCTTTACACCCTGTGTCTGTCTGTCAGGGTGTGTGTGTGTGAGAGAGAGAGAGAGAGAAAGCGTGAGTGGGTGTGAGAGACAGTGTGTGAATGTGTGTGTTTGGTTTGTGTGTGTGTTAGCTATGGGGGGGGGGAGTTACCTACAGGTGTCTTTACACCCTGTGTTGTCTGTCAGGGGGGTCTGTACTTGTGTGTGTGTGTGCATGTGAGTGTGTGTGAGTGTGAGTGAGTGTGCGCGTTTCATCTGTACAAACACATCTCCACCCAATCCCAGGCTCTGTGGCAGCTACACACATCCATGTGTTTACAAGTTGTGCCCATCAGGGCCCCTGCATCCATGTGTCGTTCTACGGCTCCAGGCCCCGCCATCCCACCTGCCCCTCCCACCCCAGCTGTCTTTATCAAAGAGATCGCACGCAGCCAGACACAGACTCAGCCACCAGCCCCCGAGCCCTGGGACAGTCCCGCCTGCCTCAATAATCTGCTCTGTTATCCGCCTCGCCAGGAGACGACCATGGACAAAACTCTCCTCCTGTGTTTGGCCATTCTGACCTGCGCCGGGATCGGTAAGCCGCGAAACCCAGGGGATCTTTGTCCCACCTCCACTTTCCAGCGTGGGTCGGTAGCTCTCGCGTTGTATTTCTCCATTCCCTCCTTCCTCAGGACAGCCCCCTTTCGAGTGTAACTCACTTCAACACCAGGTCACTTTGCTAAGGAGGATGTAAAAGCTCTATCCTCCTTCCCAACTGGAGGAGTTTAATTCCCAAAACTCAGACCACTGGACAAAGAGCAGCCAGAATTAAGGTGATCCTTCCCCATATACCCTTAACTCTGCCCTCCCTTGTATCAATGGCACTCACAGACCACAGTCAGGGATCCCAGTGGGTCATGTGAGTGCAAGTTGTGGCGAGAACCATTCTTGTGTGAGCTGGTTAAGGTACTCAGTTGTTCTCCCTTCC